AAGAGGAAAGTGAAAAACAGAACAAACACCCAGCAACTAGAAAACCAGTTTGTGGTTCAGACTCTCACAAATGATGATTGCTTTGACTGGAATCTTGCAAAAAGTAAGGTATATGCATTCAGGTATACAGCATAACTACTGCCATATACCTGAACAAAACCCAGCTGCTACCAATTGTGTATGGAATACACTCTGCCTTTCCATCAGCAAACAAGCACTTATAGAAATTGAAGTCACTTACACCAAGCAACCACGAACGCCTTATTCGCTCAAGGGGAAAGGGATACTTTGCTACACGCTCCAAAGGCCATTATGTCTGGCATCCCAATAAAGTCTTCTTGGCACCTTAGTTTAGAGGAAAAAATCTTTTTGAAACTAATCCTCGTGGAAGTAGTCATCATTCAGTGCATATCATTTTGCTGATACTGAAGTCCGGATTCTAATCATAAAATGGTGAAATCAGCACAGCACACCTCTTCTAGCACAGATGATATCCACACAAAGATCACTTTGTAAATACACAAAAGAAAATCTGAGAACTTCACCTCTATTCAGGTGAATCAAAACCTCCTTACACAGAGGACATGAAATAGCACAGGCTAATAATCTACAAGACTAAGTACGACATACAAAGTGCATATTTTATGTATGTGACCTGCTGATACAGTTCAAGTCCAGTCTAAAAGAAACCCCTGCAATACCAAAAACATCGTAGCACTGCCCAGAGTTTTTAGGGGCATCACAAAGGAACAAAATCCCTTCTGACTGGGCCAGTATTATATCAATATTTACATACTGACAGCAGGAAAGAAGAGAATCAGTACAGTGATTAGCATGACGCTCTTGAAAAAAATTAGCCATAACTAAAGATGTGAGTGTTGGAATAAAGTTCACAATAGGTGTGTTACACCCTCAGAATGTATGAAATTGTCTAAATAAAATCCATTACATAACATAAGCACTCCACCTTCTCCATTCTGATGAACCTTGCCACTCATGCATATACACTAATGTACACGAGTGCATGTGTGGGCTGTCGCACAGACACACCTGTCACATGTGAGATGATCTCAGCTGAATGAAAACCCTCTCCATTTATGAAGCACTCAAAATGTACTTCCCCTTCATTTTTCCACCTATCACCATAAAATAATGAATGAATTTGTTTGAACTGACAAGTATTATTATATGAATAGTCTTCAGCTAAAGCTCTTTCAGTTGTGAAGGTACACAGAACAGAAGGCGACACATCCCCCTTTTTTTGGCTCCAGTTTAGGATGTCCACTCTAATATATTGTTTCTATTCCAAACTTCTGTTGAGATCATCATATTTGACTGTGTTAAATTCCCTATGCATTTTAGTATATGACTGGCAGACACAGATCACAGACAAACAAACATTGCAATGCTGACACCAGCAATTTCAGAATGAATAAAGCAGCCTTCCCATTTTCAGTATTATTTAGAGCTCTCTGGATCTAAAACCAGAACAATAACAAGTAATCCTTTATTCACTGCTCACTTTTTCTCACGTATACTACTGAGAAAAAGATTTTAAAAGTTTGACAATTCATTTTAGGTAGAAGTTTGCAATATATTAGATCTGGAAAAAAAAGGATATTTCTTTTTTGAAATTCCTTCCCTTTTTATTATTATTATTATTATTATTTTAAATTTAGTCTGAATTTTAAAAACCATAGTGAAAGGTAATTTTAGAACTCACTTTTCTACAATGAGAGCTCAAGAACTTTACGAAGCACTTTGCTAGTTTAGGTCATCTGTGTCTTAGAATTTAATTTCGTAAAAAAATACATCATGAATGGTATGGCTTGTTCATATTTCAATAAATAACAAAATAAGCACTAGATTAAGCCCCTCATTTTCAGTAGTTTTCAGACTGCAGAGCAGTCATTAAGCTATAACTGCTGCTTTAACACTGAGAGTTGACTAAAGCTCAAAGACTGCAATCCCAGAGAGAATCAAATCCTAAAGCTTTCTTACCACCAGTTTCCCCTCTCCATACAACAACATGGTGGACTGGACAAAGTCACAGCCATACTTCCAGCCGTGGTCTCCTCAACGAGCACCTTCTAAAAGTCTACCTCCCTAAAAGTAGCTATTGATTTCTTAGTGTCTCAGGTTTCCAAAAGTGGCAGTGTGCTGTCCTACAGAATGCCATTTATGAAATAAATGAAATGCCTCTATTTATTCCGCTCATATTCCTGTCCCCCATTTGACGGACTGCTCCATGCTGTGGCACTTCTATCATAGTGCTGTACACCCAATTTTACCAAGCAGCCCATCCACCTCAAAGCCATGAATTCTTCTGACTCTTTTGACTGTGAGCAGTCAGGAGCAGCAAGATTGGAGGACCCCTGCTGAGCAGTGCAAATCCATCTCATTGCCTGGAGCCAGGGAACAACTCATCACCTGCGAGTGGGAGCCAAGATGTGACATGAGCCCTCGCTCAACTGAGACATAAGCTACACAATGCATATTCAAGCCCACATGGTGACTCTGCAGAGTCAGATGCTTTCTGAACTGAAGAACTCAAGCCTCATGAGAAGATGCAGCTATTTTGGGAGTCATACCACCATAAGGAGATAATTTATTGACAGAAGGCAAACCTTCATAGTATCTATGGGACCCCCCACGAACTTGTATTGTACAATCAGCCTCATAGAACAGCATTAAGCACTCTGAACAGTCTTCTAACTGCTCTCGAGTTTCTCCGGTACTCTGGATATTTTCCAAGCAGTAAGTAATAGAATCAACACCTTCCCAGTATTTAGTGTTGATTCTGAACTAAACAAAATTGCTTCTCCTGAGAATAGTGAAACGCAGCACACGTGAAATCACAGTGGATGTTTTCAGATGTGGAGCATTTTGCTGTGTTTAATAAAAATTCATCAACTCTTTTTAATACTGGATAATAACGTCTACTTTCTGTCAGAGCCAGGAACATGAAACAAACAAAAAAAAGCAACATGCTATCTCCTTCAATTATGGGAAAAAAAGAGCCTCTGCAAAGCTTTATTTAAGGCGGTATCAAAGTATGGTAAATAACATACTAGAAGAACCATGATGTGATATGAGCTCCATATCATTTAGTTATCTACCTTCAAGTCATTACAGAAGGGGGAGAAGTCTGCAGTTCACATGGTGCTCACAGGAAAGTTGTGCTCACAGCAACAACAAGCCCACCCACGAGCTGCCCATTAGTGCCAGTAACCAGGCTTGCCTTCTCAACATGCAAGAAGCTGCAGGTACCCCAAAACACCTGGACAACATTTTTTACTGTTGAATGGGGCTTCAGTGTTCGCCCCAGAAGTGCTGTTCCAGTGCTACCAATATGAGATGTGCAGCCACGCAGACAGGCAAAGCATTACCAGATACCAGTGTGGTGTTATCACCAGGAGAAGGCAACCTGGTGAGATCTGTACTTCTTGAACTCCAGAGGAGACAGATATTAAGGGAAAATGGATAGCAGTGAAGACAGAGAAATGCCTAAAAATCATTAAAATATGATCAAATGTGATTTAAGATACATTTTTTCTTCTCATTTACAGTCCAGGAGTGAACACTGGTTTGCTGCATACCCAGCTTTCTTTATTCATATCCAAATGCAGCCACTGCACATGGGCAGGTATTATCAGATCCTGAGGCTAAGAGTCAGCAGTTTGAGTGCTAAGTTCACTGAGTTACTGCCATTCTCTCATACTGAGACTGCTGTAGCACAGTTCATTTAAACCTTTAAAAACATCGATGTGTAAGCGCCATTTTACAGGTGCCTGAATATCTTAGGGGATACCCAAGAGAAGGATCTATAATAAATTTTCCTTAATCTTAAATTTACTACGTACATGGAAGGTTCTCAAGGCTCTGAGAAATTACAAATACCATTGTGCTAGAGAGACTACCCGCTTCTGCAAGACCAAAACCCGAGCCTTCTATGATACAAATACGTATCTGTATTTATAAAATATATTTGTAAAATGCTATTACCTTGTATCTATAGTATGTTGACACGTACTCTCAGCACCTGAGTCTAAGTAAATCACCTAACTGTTGGATATGTGAATGAAATAAAGGTTTTTATTTGTGCTACTAATTGAATACAGGAAGTACGCAATTTTCAAATGGGGCATTAATGTTCCAATACCAGATACCAAAACTTAATTACCTGGCAGTAATTACTTCCTCTTTATTATATTGTTCATAGGTAAAGAGAGAAAGACCACTGCTTCCATTATGGCTAATGTACATGTACTGGCAGAAGAAGCAATGCTGACAGGTGTGGCCATGATTGTATCTTTGCTGAATTAGTCAAAAATCTTGTACTGAACTTTTGCTAGCTTTGTACAGGTTCACAGAGGAGAGCAGAAAACATGCCAGCAAACATTTAACCCGCCAGGAATTTTGCAATGCCTTTCAACCAGCAGAAGAACTTTATATCCCATAAGAAATTTGTGGTTTCTATGAGATCTGAAAATAAAATAAACTAGAATCAGGAAGAGGAGAAGGGAATGAATAGCGGCGGCAGGTCACGGAGAGAAATCAAATGCTAAATGATCAGGTTGGGCAATGAATCCTGAAGCACAGAGAGCCAGAACCAGGAAAGAGGCAATCTTCCAAATACATTTAGGTTATTTGGGAGTATACTTGTATGGTATGAGGTGACAGATAAAGCAATTAACTCATTTCTGTAGTGAACTGGTGGCACTAAGGAGTCAGGGAATACAACATTCCAATGTGCTAGACAAGATGCTTGCAAAGGTCAGGGTGGCTTGATTTCTCCTTATTTATCTTTAATCCTTGAAATAAGGTGACAGCGCCAGCGTCTCTGGAGACAACTCTGTCCTCTCCCCCCTCCCTAAAAATTGATAAACAGTATTCACACCTTATTTAAAAAAATATATGTTTACTGACAAAAATGTCACGCATAGTACCAACCAGCTCTTGTGAAAGGGAACGAGGAAAGCACAACAGATTCTACTTACATTCTGGTATTGCTGGTCTTGTTGATAATTACAGATTTCCCAGTTTGATCCACATTGTGATCCATCCCAAAGTAAGCTGCCACTCTGTGTACCAGCATCCTCTGATATGAAGACATCTGAGGAAACTTTTTATAGTGATTACTGGAAAAAAAAACACACACAACAAATTCCACTGATAATTACATTTTCCTCTGAGCTACAATCAATCGACAATAGCAATGCATTTCATAACTCAGTGGACAGTCTGAAAATTTCCCCTTTGTGCATTTGCACACTGATGCTCACTACAAGAAGGCAGAAAAGAGTAAGCAAGTCTATTTACAGTTTCTATTAAGCACATTTCCATGCACTACAAAGCTCACAACTCATGCTGTCAACCAGGCACTACAGCGCATAGATTTGCTGAGACACCAGCAACAGATTGCTGCCCTTCTCCTAAAGGACAGGCACAGAGCGATGCTGGGGAGATCTAGATTGGCACATTCTCCTCTTTCCTCTCTTTCTGTCACAGTGTTTATTTCCCAAGAGTGCAATTTCTTCCTCTGCTCCTATTCTGACTACTTTTTAAAGCTATAGGAACAGTTTATTAAAAAAAAAACAACCAACCAGCGCAACTCCCCTCCCCCAAAGTTCGGTGTTTTGTTTTCCAGCATGCTAGAATAACAGAGGACACAGGGAAACCTGCATGACAGCATATCTGATTGAGTATGTTTCTTCAGAAATGCCTGTGTCATATTCTTCATGCTAAAAGCCTGACCAATATTTTTGGATCCAACTGAGCAAAGCCAGTGGAAGCCATTGAAAAATTATTGCAAGAGGAAAAGCAAAAGGTTTTCATTTACATCCACTGTATTTTAAGCAGACACAATGTGTCAGGACATAAAAGCCTGATCTTATGTCATGCCATCAAAAGGGCTCAGGATGCTGGGGTCCATACGAGTGCATCAATCACTCAGATGTGTTTCTGCATGCACACGCGACCTCTCAACCAAGTGCAGAGCTCTACTTACTTGTTGTCACTAATAAAATCAATAATTTCCTGTTCCATTTTCAAGAGTATCATCCTGTCCCTGTCAAAAAGAAGAAAAAAACAAAACACGCAAGGAACTGTAGCATCAACTACCAATAGCCATTTTAGATCAAAGACTGAATATGCCAACATTTGTAAGGCAATTTTTCAAGTGTGGCCAGCCATGCTGATAAAAAACGAAATGTGTTTTGCCCAGGCACATCTGAAGAAGATCCCACTTGGCAGTGCTGCATCTTCCCTGACACAAAGACAGACAGAGACCTTCCTTGCATTCAAGCACAGTCAGAGGGCTTCCAGCCACATGGGGCTGTATCAGCGTGTTGCCCAGAACACTGCCCTGACTGCTGCAGCTAGCCCTGGTGCTTTCTCACCATTTTTGATGGAATATGACATTTCCAGCTAGCCAAGGCTCGTTAGTGAAAAGAGATGCCATCCACATAAATGTCCAGCATTCTCTAGGACACACATCTTTCTGTAGGCAGTGAACATTAAGTGAGAAGACTGTGCAGGCTGATCTGGTTAAGAGCACAGTACAGATCAATGCTATGAACAGGGACTCCCAAGAGACACTGTCGCATTTCTTACCAAATGTTCTGTTTTTCAACTGAAAGTTCTCAAGTGTTCCTTTTTCCTCCCCCTTCGACAAAAGTTTCCAAGCACAGCCCCATGTGTACAATTTTTGTAAGCCTGACAGAGTCCATCACTCCTTAACTCTTTTAAACTTTCTCATTTTGTACAGTTAAAACTGCTTATGGACTTTACCATCCACATCACGAGTGACCAACCTTTTGGCTTGCCTGGGCCCCACTGAGGGAAGAGAAATTGTCTTGGGCCAGTGTCTGATTGTTGCTGAGTGATGGGTGTGTGCCCAGAGCTGCACTGTGCTGCTTGGTGAGGAAGAGCTGCCACCATGATGGCATGGGGCAGGGCATGAAGCTAATTACCAACAGTTCTTGACTGCATGCAGCCTGATCTATAGAAAAGGTTACACAACCTGTAACCTATCATTACTTCTAGATTTTCTATTACATGGCATCTATCTAACAGATTCAATGAAATTAACACACAAAACAATGTATAAATACATAACAAATCCTTTCTTAAGCCTTTAGAGGCAAATTTAACAGAAAAGGGCTCACTGCTCTAAATGGTAGGAATACCAACAGAATTTAGCATTGTGCACAGGATTTTAATTGTCTACAGCAACACCAAAAGAAAGCTACTTTATATTCATATACAAACCTTCACTTGCAATTGTTACAGTACCCCTAAAATCACATAGATGCTATATGCAAGAAGGTAAGAACAAAGACCAGATGTCACTGAAAGTGAAATTAAGTTACAAATGAGTAGGAATAGGAGTAGGGAGTAGGAATTGATGAGTTTTAACAGCTTTTTGTTCCATTAGAAACCTACCATCCTTTACATTTTCCCTCACACCCATCTACAGAACTAATAGAACATGATGTACAGTTTATGGAATTTCTAACATTGGCAGGGATAATTTCAAAAGGCTCAACTCTAATGCAGAAAGTACCTACCTGGGGTTATTCTTTAATGTGTTAATGAGAAACTCATGCAAATCTATCCCCGTTGAGTCTGTATACTCTTGACTGCAATCTGAAAAACAAAAACAAATACTCTGCACTCGTTTATTTTATTTCAACAGTTATGATTAAGTTATACTTTAAACCAAGTTCCATTTTCCAGCCACAACCTGAAAGCATGTATTCAGAAAGAAAACATTCATTTGGAGTTCAAGTTAAAGTAAGTAAGTAAGTAAAGAGAAATTTGATCTTGGAAGCACGGGTGGATGTTCATGATTCCATTGTACTGTTCTACAGGACACAGCACCAAAAGCAGACACTGAAAGAAAACATTAGCCATTTGAAAATCGTGACAAACCATCAATGCCAAGCAAGTCATTTCCATACTCTTCATTTAAACTCCAAAGCTTTTAAAAACGGTTTTACTCATCACTTTGTACCACTTAATACATGCCGCACGCACAGAAAATGAGGCATGGTGCCGAGAGGAATTCTATAAACAGACTGAAAATCCAGTGACACCTGAAAGTAGGCGGGTAATGGGGACGTGTGACAGCAGTCAGAATTAATTTTCCAGCATTGCCACACTGCCTGAACCAAAGGTACGGGCAGATCCGCGAGCTGGCGTGAGCTGTGGAGAGCTCCATTGAAGCCAAATGACAATTCACACCAGCTGCGGATCTGCACCCAGGTAGGCAACGATTATTTTTAAGATGTTATGCTCTAACTTTGTACCGTGGATTAATAAAAAGGTTTTTCAAATATGACTTTGTTTAGATATAGGATCGGTCCTGAAGAAGTTGTAGTAGGTGATAGCAGGTGATAGGTAACTGCAATATTAGGTGGCAATGCAGGTTAAAGGTCGAAATTGGCTGGACTTCCTTATAGTGTTTGAAAGAAATTCTCTGACACAGAGGAGTGATACTAACCAGGATTACTCTGCTGCCTACACTGCACAAACAACCTGTCAGTGTACTGTCATTACCAGAGAGAGAAAAAGAATATTAGCCAGAGACTTATCCCTTACATAACCACACATGCTTACATACATATAAGTTCACACCACCACAGTTAAGTATTCAAAACAATCATTTTACATGAAAAAAAAATATCCACACCAAACCATTTTGGAAGGTTTCTCACTTTCAAAGCCCAACATTTCTATGAAAAATTCATGCACGCACGTTTCTGAATTATCACATTCTGAATTATAACATTCTGAATTATCACAATGTGTGGGAACGTTCCTGAGTATTTATGCACAAAGAAAGAAGTGTATGCTTATAAGAGTAGTTATAGCAGTTTAAATATTCCAAATTCACCTTTTGATAACATTCTGATCTTGTTTTTCTCACTGTTTTTCTCTTTATTTTTATCTTTCTCTTTTTCTTTCTCGGAGTCATCTTTATTAGTTTTATCTTCTTCTTGCAAACTAGGAAAACTTGAAAGCTGTAGTTGTATCGATTCCTGTTGGGAAGAAAAAGATAAATAACTTTAGGGCCAGATTCAATACAGTTTCTGTGATTCGCAGCCTGTGGAGATACACGTTAAACTGCGTATGTCTAGAAAAGCTGAAGCCAGGTACATTTCTTTCCTATTTGAAAAATGATTTTTTTTCCAGGAGAATAACATCATCTTAGAAGCCAAATTCTACTAGTAGGTGGTTTGAAATCTACGTGCTTTTAGTCTACCTACGTTAAAGGCACGTTATTCTCCACTTCAGTAATTCACTCTCAAGAGTTGCCAAAACAGTGAATTGCATTTCATGTGGGTCTTTGTAAGGAATCCTAAAAATTAAGAAATAGCACGAATGTCAAATAACAACCAGTGGGAAAAGGTCTGAAAAATGAGACTTCTTCCCCAGAAAAAGCAGGTTGCAGGTTCACATGAACTGCTTTGTGCATGTAAATTCAGCATCAGCAAGACTGAGCATTCAGGCTCTGATAGAAGACATAGGCAGGCAAATTATAAACTCATTTGTACCCAACATGGCTTACTGAGTTACTGTATTGCATACTTCATATCTAAAAATGCACAAATATTCCTTCAGCTGAGGGGGTGAAGTGGGCACTGCAATATTCAAACAAGTTGTGGTAAGCAAAATTCTCTGAGGCACCACACATCCTCAGAAATGCAGTACTTCAGAAAGACTGAGTCCCCTTGAAAGCATGCTTTAGCTTTAAAAATTAATTAAAATTGAGAATTCAAGCTCGTCGCCTTTTCTGATTTGCTTTAAGGAACTTGTTATTCCCCACTTCAACATCGCTTACATTGTGTCCGTTTGAATAAAATGCAAATTGAAATATCTTGAGAAATATAAATAACGCTACGGTAACTTCTGAAGAAAACAATCTGATTGTACCAAACTTAAGGGAGCAGGCTTATGTGTTTGTATTTTTTGTTGAAAAAAATCCCAAAATAACAACATATGCTTTTGTGTAAAAATTGAATTAAGCTGCAGCAAAGCTCCCTGGTAATGCAGTATTTAATACAGGAGAGTCCTGCAGGCCTGATAAATTTCTGGCATCAGGTTAATGAAATCCAAATTCACCTTGGCTGCAGAAAAATCAGAATTTGTTGAATGCTACTAAATATTCCTACCTCACAATTTTTCAAAGAATAATAGCATAACAGAAGTATTGATAAAATGCTTCAAAATAAGGGATTTTTTTCTTTAAGGAAAAAAAAAACAAACCAAGACCACTGTAATTTAACTGATACTTTCAATATTTATTTTTTTAAAAAAAAACAAGATTTTGGTGCTTTTCTTGTCTTAAGTAAAGAACAAATCAGCCACCACAGCACATGTGAGACAAAATCCTAATGGAACGAGGTAGCAGCATAAACATGCCACAGAAAGACAGGAATTGGGTAATTTCTCAGTCTAATTGAATGTGGCACAAAGGACTCAAGATGAAAAGCACTATTAAGTAGAAACAAAGCCTTAGAGCCCATATTTAATATGAACTACTCTCCTTAATCCCTATCTCTGTTATCTCTAGATGACAGTGCTAGCCAAGATCTCAGTGTACAGTAGGTACAAGGGAGGGACTGCTGGCCAGATGAGATAAGGGGTGACAAAAATGCCTGCTAACCTGCTTGGATGCACTGAGAGGGCTAAGATTGTGCCTGCTTTCTTTCACTTCAAATGGCAGAACAATTTCTCATTCAAACCCCATGCTTAGATCAACCACTGACAGAAGACCCCGAAGGACAGCCCTGAGCCCCTGTGCTGCTCCGAGCAGAGCAACCGTGCCATTAGCTTTCCAAACAGAGGAGAAAAATGTAACTGGCTGCGCCAATCTCAGGACATTGACCTTACGCTTCACAACGGCTGCAAACATGCACTTACTGCAATGAAAAACAACAGACTGTGCACATAAGCACACATATGAACATACAGGAAATGCTGTCTTACATTTAACATAACGCTTCTATGGTTGGTTGCACTGGAAGAAACACACATGAAGGGCTGTAGAGTCGTGAAAGCAAGCTACTGTGTATTTTGTTATATTTTTATTGATGTTTCTCAATAATAAAATACAGTGTTAGTAAATACATTGATACAAGGTAAGTATAGTGAACAACAAAATAAATATTCAAATTGCAGTAATACACGTATTGGTCAACAGTATAACATTAAAGGCAACATTCCTTGTAAGTAAGGACATAGTGAACTATCAGGTAAGCGTTCAAGATCAAGTAATACAGGTAAACAAGTGTTTTTTCCTTACACAGGAAAATGAAGGCAAGTATTCAAATATAAATACAAACATCAAGTCTGCAGTACAATCCATACTTTGTAGTTCTGGCAATGTACCGTACATTCTCTGGCAATTTATTTTCTGTGCTTTGTAAACCATGAAGATTAAATAATAATTTAAAAAAAATAAGAAAAATAAGCTTTTTCTCCTATAAAGTGAAAGCAAAGCAACTGGGTAGGCACAAAGCTTCCTGTACCCTTCAGCCAGTCCAAGGAGGAGGCTGCAGGTCCCATGGCAAAGCTGAGCCACGTTCATTAGCCAAAGGGCAGTGAGGGCAAAAAGGCGACTCTGACCTCATTGATCACACCCAGCCAACTTCATCTTTACAAAATGGAACCTAGGTCCAGGGAGCCTTTCATCTCCCGTTATTGTTTCAGAATGGCCATGGACACCCCTGCTGTTCCCAGTGCAATCAGGTAGGGTCGGGCTCCGTGTGCAGCTGGAGCCCCACTGCCTGAAGTAGGGAGGTTCAGTACAGATCCTGTGCAGTACATTATCAACTACCATGCCATGCTTAATACAGTCTCTTTATATTTATATTATTCTCTTTTTCATTCTCCAGTAAACAATAGAAAATACAAATGAAAGCAGAACAAAAGCCACGCGTGTCGAGCAATGCATGTTAAGCTAGCATATACCTAGAACAGAACAACTGGTAAAATAATACTAGCAACTGCATAAACGTCATTGTAGAGCAGTAGAACGTGGAAAAGTCCCCCTGCTAAACAACCTGGTTTTTGGTCTTTTAAAACAATAAAAAAATAGAAAAAATCTCTCCATATATGAGAGAAGAGGAGAGCTGAATTTGATTCATTTCAAGTCAATAGAGGAAACTGAGAGAAAGTACACTTGAATGTGATTTTCCATTTTTTTTTGTGCTAGGCTTGCAAGAAGTCACTTCTTCAAACTCTCTATGGCTGATCTCGTTTGCACATATTTGCACATACACATCTCAAATTACATACAGGCAGGCAGTGCTCATGTTATTTTGGTTTTAGTTTGTGTGCTTTATTCAAGTCTTGTTCTTAGCAGGCAAACAAAGAAGCATATCTAAGGTTTTCCAACTGGGATATTTTTTTTAAAGTGGGTCTACACAGACTGCCACCAGTGTTAGGCTCCGGGGTGAAGGGACAGAACTCTACCAGTCATGGGGAATACAACACTACCAGTACAGATAGACTCAAAGACAAGCTTTTTGTTACTGGAAAGTCTACACCAAGAGTTTAGGAAACAAATGCCACTTGATAGAAGGCACCCTTGACTCTTCCAAGGTATTCTGGAGAGCAAAGGACCTGTAGATTTTAAGTGAATGGGATGCTGTTATGACCTGGAGTCTCAGAGGACCCAGAAACCAAAGCATATTCATAACTGTATCTGGTGCAGCCTCAGAAGAGATAGCCTTAGAGAAAATGACATTAATATTCTTTTTGATTGTTACTATTTGTTTTTTTTAATTTTAGAAACCGAATTCTTTTGAATTCTTTTCCATTTGCTGAAATTTTCAGGGGGTCTGGAAAAAAAAGCAAACAACACCCTGTGACATAGTGCAAAACCAATATTTCAAAATAAAGTTCACGCTAAACCAGATAACTCCACAAAAATGTGTTCACTGTCAAATGTAATTTTTTCCCCCAAGAAACACACTGCTAAATGCCCAATTAAGTAACGAAGCCATGCAACAGAACTCGGAGGTCAACCATGCAGCTAACAGCAATGACTGTAAACGTACCTGATTGTCGTGAAGGGTTTCCGCTCCTGGGCGAGGGGATGACTCCTCACACACAGCAAGACTCCGGACGAGCTTTCCCTTAGCTCCTGACTGAATAAGACAGAAAGAAAACGAGAAAGAAAACACTCCTGCTGATCCCAGGTCACATAAAGAGCACATCAGCTGTCCCTAAACATCCTGAACACCTACCTAAGTACATATCCAGTACAGCTTTATCTGACTTAGATACGGACAGAAAGCTATCGTAAGCTATGAGCCACATATGAGAGGCAGTTAGTTTCTTTGTGCTTTTAGTCATTTCTGCTATGGTTCGCTTCCACTAAATCCACTAAAAAAAAAATAATCAGAGTAGATAATCCAATACTAATAATAAGGAACAGATTAATAAAACACTCAAGTTTTACAGATTCCCAGCTTGGAAAATTGTAAGAGCTTCTGCTGCCCTAGAAGCTCCTTTGCTCCTCCATACCCCTCTCCCCCAACCTGGAGTAAAACAACCTCTGTTACTTACATCAAAATTAAACCATTAAAATAATATTGAAACAAACATAAAATGTTCATTACCAAAGCAAAGGGAATAAGTATTTTCCTTCCTCATTGGCACATTCAGTTTAACATGAGCACACGAGCCCACAAGCATGTAAGTACTGGGGATAAACAATGGGATGCCTGACATATCTCACCTAAAGGAACTCCTCTACCTTTGTGCAACAGGATTAGAGGTAATAAATAAATAAATAAATAAAAGGAAAAAACAACCAAACAAAAAAACCCACCACAACCAACCAGCAGAAGGCCATCAATCCAATCACAGACAGATGACTCAAATTCTCCATCCAAACATGGCAGCTTATCATGCAATTCCAAACAGACATGGACCCTTACCTTAGATCTCTTTTTCTGCTGGTTTGCACCTCGTTTCTGGGTATGGTAAAAAATAAAAAGAAAAAAAAAGAAAAAAAAAAAAAAAGCAGTTTTCACTTCAGTAGGAAATGTGCACAACAAGAGCATTTCCGATAAGTAAAGAAATTAAATCATTTCTAAGCCAGTATTTTAATGAGGTGCTGATTGCCAGAAACAACTTCCCCAAACCCAGTCTGGAAAGCAAGAAGAACAGAGAATCACCTCTGCTCACCTCATCCATTTTAAAAACAGGTACAATCAGCACAAACACTGCATAGTGTTCTGTAATTTTTGCATAGAATAGAATTACAAGAAAAGACATACTTAAGTAAATGCTTCCCCTCTCCAAATTCCTCTTAAATTGTAGTCTCCCCCTTTATTTTATATTCCATTGAGCAAAATGGATTTAGACCCCCTCATTCGACAAAGTCTTCTTGTTAAATTACCTTCTTAGGCTTTGCAAAACAACTTTTTGTTGGCAGTAACACCTACAAACCAAACCACACATTAAGTAATTATTCATTAGCATTACCTGTAAATTCATGAGATCAAGGTAGTTTTCTAAATCCCCAAAGAGGGAAAACAGTCAAATATTTCACCAAGCTCTAACACAGACGTGTAGGAATTAACTTCTCAAAAATTAATAACATGGACAGCAGCCTAAAGAGCTTGAAAGGTATAACAAATAACAGCATTTATTTTACAGGGAGATAAAAGGATCCAAATGAAAAAAAAAAAAAAAAAAAACACAACAAAAACCAAAAAGAGACAAGTCTCAAATTATGAGGGAATAAAACAAGGGAAGCGTAGGCAATGAAAGAGGTCATAGAAATGGAAGTGCAATGATAACACATCAATATTTAATGCATGCATTTGCTATTCCCATCTTACCTGCAGCTCTGTCTTGCCATCGCTCAGTTTTTCCTCTTTCTCCTCTACTTCTGAGCTTTCAGATTTATTAAGGATACAGTTGTCTGGGGTTGCTTCTGAGATGGCAGACTCCTGCTCTTTCGCAGCTTCCTCTGCTGTCTCCTGGTTCAATTTACCTTGCTCAGACATTCTTCCAGACAGAAATTAAAATAACAAGATTTGGTGACCTGAAAGGTCAAGATACCACAACACAAACACAAAAACACCAGGGATGAATTTTATTTTTTTTACATTCCCAGGCAAGTCATTTCATTCCCTTCAATAAATAAACCAAAGTGAGGAGCTCAGGAGTTGAGAGCTACGCACGCCTCAGCTGAAGTGATGCATTCAATTGACAGCATTGGGTAACAGCGGAATTGACTTGGGATAATTGAGCAGAGCTCCAAAACTAAAGAGTGCTGCAGGGGTTGAGAAACAGCCTTAAGGCAAGGCTCTGAGACAACTGGGTGAAAGGGAGGGGGAGCGAGGGGCTCTGCACAAGACCTCAGTGGCACCAGGCAGGGAAGAACCCGCTCTGCCCTACAGGTAGGCTGGCATGTGCTCCCCTCCCCTAGATCCTTTCTTTTTTTTAATTTTAAGAAAACTACAGCCTCAAATGAAAGAGAATGAAAAATAAAAGACAAGCACCAACCACGATATTGTGGCTTTTCAACACTCAGCCGTGTTCTCTGTATATAACAGAAGCCTGTGGTGCTCAATATTGGTTAACAGTAATAACAAAAATTCAGTTGGAGAGGTAATAATTCAATATAAACACGAAATCTAAATTTGGCAATAAAACTCTCAGGGCTTGCGTTCGCAGGCATCAAACTGACAGCTCCATTATTAAAAGTCTAAACCTCTTCCTAAGCCCCATGTCACTCTCCAGCACTGTGGAAATCCTACAGGATGCCCACGGCAGGTATTTCTGATGATGACATCCTAACCGAACTGCATTTACTCTTGGCTCACAATGGGTTGCAGAAGCTCTAAAAGCTTTTCAAAGTTAAAGCCTATTATTATTCCCCTCTCTAGCACCCTCTTCAAGCCTCCCCACTGATCAATTGTCAAATGAGACTTATGAATAATTTAATTATTTCTTCCTCTCCATCCATTTGGCTTAAGATGCATCTTCAGGAGAAACAACCATAGCTGAGGAGTTATTTCTATGAGTCTTTCACAAAATCTCACCTCTCGTCTACAATGATACAGCGGTTATTAAGAAAAACCCCATTTTGCCATGTTTCTTTTTACAGCTTCTAATCAATACTCAGCAGATTTGTTAGCTTCAATTTTTTTCTCAATTTTTTGTCAACTTTTCACTCAGCTTCAATTTTTGTAAAGCTATACTTTAAATGAAAAAAATGTACTAGTAATTTGTAACCTTATTCGTCCCAGTTTTTGCTTTTCTTTTGACATGATAAGCAAATAAAATCTTTCCAACATTACATCAAAACGCTATTTCCTTAGAGAACTGTGGATTTTGCAAGATAGGAAACTACACCGAATATTAAGCTTGTAAATTTGATTGCAGAAAGCCAATTCAAGCTTTGAACTATCCTCATCCCCCTGCTCTTCTACCCAGGAAGAGTAATGCTATTGGTTAACCTGCAGCTATAGCTGATACTTTGCTAAAATTTCAAAACACGATGAACTGCGAGACCAAGAGTTGGTCTGCTAATGGTCCTTAATTTGCTATGGATTTATAACCAAGACGTGCACGTACATAAACTCTACGTGTTCATATCATCCCGCAGCTCATCTACATGCTCACACGACATTTAAAAACCAGTTATAGTCATGGCTAGGCAGCTGCACTAAAGAAATCATTTACCTGAAAAACTGCTATAATTCCCACTGTCTTCCTAGCGTCTTCTGTTGCTCTTCGCTAGTTAAGTCCACGCAAATGATCAACGACAACTTGAGTCCCATGTCCCCATTAGCAGTTCAGCACACCTATCTCCATGCTGCTTCTTCAGAGAGTTTGATGGATCATCGTCAACCTGGAAAAAGACAAAAAGTAAATAACAGTAACGGTAACGACCGTGGTATGGGTAAGGATGCAATAGACAAGACCAGATTTCTAACACTAATGACCAGCTTCAAGTAAATCACTTTCACAGCTTGATCCAGCTCCACCTGTCTCAAAACTGCCTGCTTCTTCTCTAATGAAGGCTAGAGCCGGCTGTTCAAGGCATAACAGCTCCTACGCAAAGAACTAAAATTAACAATTGCATTATGCACTGAAGATTACTCACTTCGATTCTAACCTTTTTTAGTGAATTCCAGCACTTCTCATTAAAAAAAGCACATATACATATTTATATATAAGCTCATCTGTTTGCTTCAACAGAAATCTCTGAGGGCATGAGCAAGAAAGACTTGCTTGTTTTTAAACGACAGCTGCTGCTCCAACTAGAATTTACATCTTCAAATAGGACTGAAAATCAGCTAGATGGGGGTTTCTGGAAAGTGACCTCCTTTGCCAGGGAGGTGAACTGAGGTTTAGTAAGCCAAATATAAGTTGAAACGTTCAAGAAGGGGAGGTGGATGGCTTTGAAACTCTACTCCCCAAACAATGCCCAAAAGAACTTCCTGCTGTACACAAGGAGACCTCCAGGTTATCACTGGAGAAATACACCTAAAAATTTGCCTCATTGCACAGCATTGACTGCACTGCAACAAGTATATACTGTTCATCAGGAGAGTGTTGGCCAACTGAGCAACTGGTGTGAAAGAATGTGAGCATTTTGGGACAAGGCTGATCCGCCAGCCATGGCTGCATGCTCAGCTGTCCACTCCTCAATGCTTGCCTGTGCACAGAGGTTGAAGCAGTTAGTACACGTCACAGAAATGGGAAATAGGAAGAAACCCACTGCACTCTGCTTCAGAAGGAAAAAAAAAATGTTGAAAATCATCTCGGATTCCTTGTTTCCAAGGCATACTGAAAGCCACACCTGGCTGCAGCTGCCAGGAAGTACTGGCAGATCACAGGAGCTTCCAGCATTCAAGTAGCTGGATGTCAAGACACCAAAACGCAACTCAGCGTTGCCCAACATCAAGCCCTGCTCCCTCCAGAACCTCAGGCACAGAGGAGAAGAGCACACAGCTCTATGAATTTCTACAACGCCATAAAGTTACATTAATGAAAGCATTTCCACAAGCCACTTATAATTTGTGCAGAGTAAGACACTCTCACGTCAGTATTTCTAGCAGGGCATATTCAGTAATGCATCTCACAGAGAAACGTACTTTGACATGATGAGGGTGGCAAAGTAACCGCATGGAAAATTATGCCCAAGCACACAAGCACACACAAAAATATATTTAATAGAGCCAACAGCCGGAGAGGTGGTGGTGGCAAACCAATCAAAAAAAAAAAAAAAACAAAAAAAAAAACAACCTAACACCACCACCACAAAAATTAAAAACAAAGAAAAACACCCAGAGAAACCCAGAGTTGTACAGTGTGTTGCAGTTTCACCTGGAAAACAGCCAGGCAGGGAAGAAAACACTGCAATCAAACACCTCCCAAACCAACTAACCTGTACCAAAAATCAGAACACAAACGATTATTTCAGGATTCTTCATTGTACGACGCAGTATGCATTAACTATTCATAAAACTAACAGGACAAACCAAAAAATGGACCCCAAAGCAAGCAAGCAAAGAATATCACACCTAGGATGAGATCTCCTGCAACTCCAACACAGTTCTACGCTGTTGATGCTGAACATAATCTTATCATGCTCAGAGACGATTCCCCCTGTTGTTATAGTTAAGATTTCTAATGCCAACATGATTTTTCAATGGTAAGGTATGAGAAAACTATAGAATCTTAAGTTAAAACAACTCGAATTTTCCCTGAGAAAGCAAACAAGTAGAAAAAGAAGCTTACAGTGTGCAGCTACCACCTGTCAAAGCTGCAATGACAGTGTTTCTTGGGAAGATTCTTAAAAACTCTTCCAGTTTTATTTCTGGGGATTAAAAAAAAGGCAAGACGACAGGTATGGCTGAGACATATATCACTCAGCCAAGCTCCTCGTCTTCGCTTAATATAAATTCCCTCCTCCTCTAGGTAATTTAGAAGTGATGACTAATCACTTACATACTACAATACGTAAGATACACTTCTGGTTGTTTGGGTGGGTTTCCAAAAGGACTCAGATTTCTATAAAATACTTCAAGGGAGGATGCAAATAGCAAAATGGCATCAGGCAGAAAATAGCCATTAGAAGTGAGGCGTTTTGATGGCACACGCGTTTCTATTTTCCGCGCGCTCCCAGGATCCCCAGTCACTCGGTGATGAGCACGCTTCTCGCTACTGCCAGACCTACGGTGACAGCTCTGCCTTGGAGAAGCATACTGGATCCTTCTCCTCCCTGCACATCACAAATGTCAGCCCCGATTTGACTGTCAGGCCTCAGCGCTGGCGTGACGCAGGAGGCAGAACACACGCATTTGGAGCTTTCGACTCGGGAAGAAAGGTGGTTTTTGCCTAGCAAGGGGCTTTGCTCTTCCTCATTTAAAAGCGAGTCTTACATTACACAGTGTTGGGAGCTTAGATGTGGTCTGCAGGAGACTGCAATAACATCTGAGCATCTAATTTCTTAATGCAACATGAGCATCGCACGCAGCATGGAACAGAAGATACAGGTGCTCACCAAGCTGTTTGTAGAGCTTCTTCCCAAGAAATCACATCATCAGTTAGCAAAGAATTTACAAAGGCCAGCTGATCAGCATATGCTGTAGGATGAAAATGCTGTTTTTTCTTGAATTGTTTTCTTTATCAATAGGGCTTTTGCTTCAAAAGCTGAGGGTACTGCTGTGCAGGAGCAGATGCTGCCAGAGCCCAGAGAGAAGGGACTGCACGAAGGCACGTGTGCTCACATATGCTTGCATAACACGCACCACATATATCCCCAGAAAAGCCCATAGGAAGATGTATACTTAGGTTAATGCACGAGTTTAGAAACTATAGATGAGCTGTCAAAAAAAAAAAAACAAAAACAAAGGCAGAAGAGAACAACGAGCAAAAGCATCAGAAAAACCACCTCACTGAACGTCTGATAGATGATCACCAACTGAAATCAAACAGCAAAACTTTTAACAAAACCCACAACAGGACAGTAAGCATGCCTGTATTAGGTGTCAGCAACTGCCTCCATGGTCTCAAAGGTCTTGCCCACGTGTGTTACCTAAAGAGGAATTTTGAGATCCTTATGCTCTGGCACAGCTGCCCAGAAAAGCTGTGACACCCCATCCCTGGAGGTGCTCAAGGCCAGGCTGGATGGGGTCAGAGGCAGCCTGGTCTGGTGGGTGGCAACCCTGGCCATGGCACAGCAGTTGGAACTAGATCATTTTTGAAGTCCTTCCCAACGCAAGCCATTCTGTGATTCATTTAATTGCATTAAATGATTAAATTTCATTTAATCATTATCGTCACATCCTCTCTGAGAAGATGAACAGTTTTTAAGCCCAAACACTTTAACCAGGAGCAGGCAGCACAGCACACCCCACCCGAGTGACACTCAAATGTGTTTTCCAAATAAAGCCATGAAGCACAGAGGTAAAAATGACTCTCCCACTGTAAGAGCTCAGGCATTACTTCCACTATACAACGCATACTGCATTCATACTGATTCAAAAACAGCTTTAATTCATTACTGCTAATGCCTGGAAACCACAAGAAATGGACTACAGCGTTACCTCCAACTTATCAGTACACTCAGCCTCAACATGTCAAACTCCCCACTATTTGACCCTCACTTAAAAGTTTCAGCATCGAGCAATCTGTGGCAATCTCAGGGTTCACACTGAAAACGAAGCTTCAAGTCTCTGTCAGCACTTTGAAGCAAAGTGTTAGAATACAAAACCTATTAAAAAGAAAAATTTAGAAAAGGCAAATGAAGTAAATCCCAGAGCTTTTACTTGGAATACTCTACTGCCCAGCTGTCTTCTGGATCTGCATCACTAAACTGGCCATACAGTGCGCTCCCTTCCTGTTTTCCCACTGAAATTCTTTTATGCACTTGAAAGCTGCCTGCTTAACCTTAAAACATAAATATTTTTTAAGAAGTGTTTGAAGCCTTATTTCCCACCTCCTCTTGGTCTTCAGTTTGCCTCCTCTGCATCATCATCACAAAAGCAATGTAGCAATTGCCTACATTTTTTGGTCCTATGTGCCATAGACCTTTGCAGCTAGAAGGCTATTTAAATTTATTCACTGTTGGCATTTTAACACTGTCAGATAGCAGAGGCCAGTATTTTTTTTCCAGGCTGGCAGAAACACGAGCACCTTACAACAGCAAGCTACTGATACGCCTTAAGCAATCCAGCAAATCATCTTCAGCAGCAACAGTGGGCAAACACAACAGAAATTGATGAATTAAAGTATTCTGGATAAGAATTCAGATCCTGAGACATCTTCTAAACAGAAAAGAGGAGAGAGCAGAAGAGGAACAGCATCCCAGCTGAACTCTGTCTTCAAAGGCATAAAGACTAGCATTGGCTTTCCTTTAAACCTGCACATAAAATCCAGTTTTTATGAATTACAACAGGGATGAGACAATTGTAACAATCAGAAGTTATAAACCACAAAACATTGCTTTATAACTGATTTCACTATTTCAAAGGCATCTTCTTGCTCCTGTGGATTGCCACCAAGATTTTTCACTTTAATCCCCTGTCAGAAGACCTCACGTCAATGTCATCATCTTCAGCCAAGCAGCAGCAATGATGTTCCCTTTAGCTTGTTTTATTTCTGCAAAGCTAGAAGCTTTGCCCAGGAAAATAAATAGTGATGGCCTACAGGGAAAGCCTGTTTACATACTTAAGAAAAGGCTCAAAAAGTTGCTCTTTTATCTGTCACAATGGCCATTTGAAGTCTTCCAGGATCAGCATGAAAGATACAAGGTATTGGTTGGTCTGGCTAATAAATGTCAATCACAGTAGTTTATCAGGAGCCAAGCAATACCCAAACTTTTAACAAGCTAATCCAACATATAAATCAGCATCCTCAGAATGAGCTGTTTGCTTTAGCTCAGACTTCAGAGCACGCATACCAATTTGTGTCTCATTCCCAGACCTAATTTTGACAAATTTCCCTAGAATTGAAGTCATTAAACTACCTGGTCAGACACTCCTTGGCGGAAAACAGCTCCCATGACTCCAAACACAGAGACACAGCGGTTCCCAGTCACGCTTTCAATTCACGCAAGTCTTCTGTCAGCACACACAAGTCACCTTAAGTTTTACAACGACATCAATAACCAACATAGGCAAACAAATAATTGAAAAGGGACCAGGACTCCCTTGGCTCTATTGCTTGGCTATCAAAGGCAATCATATCCCAAAGCCCTCTTGAAAGACTGATCAGCTTTACTCAAGAATTAGAGGGGTTCCGAACAGCACGCCAGTAACACATCAGGGTGCCCAAGAGCCTCACAGCCTAGGCAGGACACACTCCCCCACTATCCTGTTGCACACAAGTCTTTCCTACATTTTTCTTCTTGTGCCAATGAATGTTTATTTTCAACTGCTGTTCTGACTCCTTGATAGTCTTCCTGTGGGGAATAAGTGTACATCACCTCCTGCTCTGCTGTGAGGTTTAAGAACACAGCTCCCTTTAACTGTCACTTACACAGGAATACGCCGTTTCCACTGTTTACTTCCAGTCTCACTTTTTATCCATATAGACAGACTTTATCCACAGACCACAGGTAATAAACAAGTGTCCAGAGAAGTCATGATGCCCTATTCTGTAAGCCTCAATTACACCAAACAAAGCAGTTAAGTCCAAAAAGAAAAAACAAAGAACAAAAACCTATATTTTAAGTACTTCTAGCATGTTCTTTCAATAAAGCCTTCTGAATAGGCTCATTCAAAACAAAATTGTGTCATATATTTTAAAACATAACACGGGACATGGATGGCAATGACTCATAGGCAATTGCTTTACACTTCTTTCCAGCATTACCAGTGGATGAAGGCAGAAGGAGAAGGAAAATGCTGCAGGAACTGACCAAGTATCACTGATCCTCTCATACACTCGTGATTTTTTTTTTCCCCTCTCCCAATTTATATAATGGTGTCTATATTTCATCCTGCCATCTCTTGACAAATTAGGTGCATTTTCACTAGCGCTAGCTTAATTGGCAAATCCTAAAAGAAAATAATTGCTAACAGCAAAGCAGCATTATGCTGATGAACCAGACCCACACTACAATTGCCAGAGCAGACAAACACTGACTGCTGAACAGCAAAAAGCTTTCACAGGAGAAAGAAAAAATATTATATTTCCCCCCAAAAGTCTTTTTTGGTTACGGGAATTAATATAGTAGCTGCTCTTTTTTTATAGTAATACAATTTTCTTAAGCAA